AGTGCCTCATTAAGACAGACCAAACAGCCCAGCTTGCTGATTGCGCCAAAGAAGAACATTTCACACATTGAGCTAAGAGAAGAATTACGCACAAAGGCGCCGATTTCTAAACTTCCAGTGGCTGTGGAAAAGATTGTAGTGCACAAGAAGGGCGGCTTCGAGGTGTTCTGCAAATCCTCGGATGACCTCACACTCCTGGAGGCACAATTACAAAGAGCGGAAATTCCGGCAGACTTTCAACACCCTCCAAGACGAAAACCACGTTGTACAGTACACAATGTTGCAGAGGACACGAAGCCTGAGGAACTCGTGGATGAACTCAGTACAGCCACGGCAGCCCCAAGAAACACCTTTAGACCGCTCTTCAAGCTCAAGGAACGCAAGGAAAAGAACGTCAAATGGGTCTTTGAATGTGACCCGCATAGCTTCGCAGCAGCTCTCCGAATCAGACATTTATACACAGGATGGCATACACACACCATCCGCGAATATCTCGGGATCAAGCGCTGCTTTAAATGTCAACAGCTTGGCCACCTTCAAGTCTCGTGTCCTTGCAAATACCAGTACTGGGCGTACTGTGCAGGTCCACTCCACGTGCGAGACTGTCACGCACGAAAAAAACAGCATGCATCAATTGTGGGGACGCAAATCATAAGCACGGAATGCAGTACGATACCAGGCACCCAGCTTACCACAATGCCTGTCCTGAGTATCAGAGAACAGCAAAACGAGTCAGAGATGCCACGGAATATTAACACAGACAATAATGTCAACGCCCAGACGCAAGACACGTCTGTTGGTCATTTCCCTACACGAGCAGATCCAATGACTGATTTCAACATACGACACATTGACCAAAGTGCACTAAAAATAGTTCAGATTAACCTGCAAAGAGCTAGAGCAGCAACGGCGCAAGTCATTCAGTACGCCATGGAAACGGAAACAAACTTCATCTTAGCCCAGGAACCTTACCTTTACGACAACAGAGTGTCCGAGTTTCCTCTCTCGTGGACTGTATTTCAGGGCAATACTGCCGAAGGCCCGCGAACGGCATTAATATGCTGCCAACAGAAATGGTCTCCCACCATCGTTCTAGCCTCACGCGATATAATAACTATAGCTGTAGAGACATTAAACATCAATGTGCTTATCACGATGTTTACCTTTCACCATCTGAAGACATGACACACTCTTTGGAACTAATTCAGAGAACTCTTGTACAATATCCCAGTGCATCGCTGCACATCTGCTTGCAGGTGACTTTAATGCGCACTCGAAAGTTTGGAACTACCCAAGCACAGACGCAAGAGGGAGAACCATAGAAGATTTCGTGGCCAGCAATGATTTAACTTTGCACAACACACTGAAGACAGTCCTCCAACGTATGAAACGGTTCATGGTAGGGGTTGGCCTGATCTAACCTTGACCTCAGCTTCATTGGCCCCATTTATCCAACAATGGACGGTGCAAGACTTACCATCCAACTCTGATCATTTGTATTACTTACAATATTTGCCATCCACATACGAGAATGACCCTCAAGCGCTATAAGCTTACAAAGCAAAAGACTGCACAATTCATAAACAAAGTTCGTTTTTCCCTTAGAAGCGCAGAGGAAGATCTCACAGCATGCACACTACATCCCAGGACCTGGAGTCGTTCACCAGCTCTCTCTGATCTCCACAATACAGGACATCTGCAACAGTACTTTTTCCCTGAAGACACGGAAAACGCTGCATATGCCGAACTGGTGGACGAAAGATCTCCGAGCGCAGCGCAGTAAAACACGCGCAATGAGAAGGCGCATGAAAGCAGAATACGACCAGGAAGCTAGGCTGGCACTCAGCATCTCATACCGAAAGGCGCAAGCGGAATATAAAAGAGCAATTCTTAATGCAAAGCTTGCGTGTTGGAGAAACTTTTGCACTAATAACACCGATATTTATGGTGCGCTATTCAAAATAGCACGAGGTAGTGTCTTTTAAACCGCCACAGCTTCGCCTTTTTGACAGTTCACCACCCCGAGCAAGAGACTACAAAGGAGGCAGTACTTCTCCAAAATCCATGGATGCAGTCTTTCCAACGACAGTCAGGAGGAATTCACAGAAAATTCTCACCTGGCATACCAGCTCTTCACGACGGCAAACTGACGATCCTCCCTTTCAGGATCCGGAAGTCAACGCTATCATGCGTATTCTGCCCAAGCGAAAAGCACCAGGCCCGGACTCGCTTGATTACAGCATAGTCAAAGCTGTACACAAGGCAAAACCCGGATTCCTTTGCAAGTATTTCAACAAATTGCTGGAGCACAGGTATTTTCCAGTGGCATTCAAAACGGGGCAAGTAGTCCTCTTTGCCAAACCTGAGAAGCATCCGAATGACCCTAGCCTCCTTCCGCCCGATATGCTTGTTGTCGGCAATAGGGAAGGTTTTAGAAAAACTTGCAGTCACCAAGACTAAAGCATCACCTCACCCGGAAAAAATTCTTGTCGCAGCTACAATTCGGTTTCAGGGAAAGCATATCAACGGTCCATGCCCTTGATCTTCTTCAGAAAGAAATCACGGAAGCTCGCAGTAACAATCAACACGTAGCAGTACTAAGTTTAGATCTCCAAAGTGCATTTGATTCCCTGTGGTGGCCTGCTGTGCTCGAAGCCTCTGCACACAGCTGATATTCCAAACAATCTTTTACAGTTTTTAAAAAGTTACCTCAGCAACAGAAAATTCATAGTTGTGCACGACGGAGGAATCATTACCAGACAACAGACCAGGGGCTGTCCACAGGGATCATGCGCTGGTCCTGTCCTATGGAACGTGACTTTCAATTCGATCTTGTGCACTCAGTGGCCGGAAGGAGCGAAGGCATTTGCATTTGCAGATGATGCTACATTCATCGTCAGAGGACACAGCAGGCACGTTCTCGAAGCCCGCTGCAATGACGTTATCTCGCAGTTTGACATGCTCTGCAACCAAAAGAAGCTACGAATCTCGGAGCTCAAGTCGAAATATATAATATTCCATAAACCTGGCCAGACCACTCCTTCGCAATCCATGTATTAACCTTAGACAAAAGAGAGTAAAACGAGTGGAAGAACTAAAGCTTCTCGGCTTATTAATCGATGAAAAACTCTCCTGGCTCCCTCATCTGCGAGCTCAACGCATTAAAGCCCATAGAATAGCCTCTCGAATAAAGAGCATGCAAGGCTCAGACTGGGGGCTCAGGCCCCACTTACTGGGGGCTCCAGCTAAAGATAATATACAGCACAGTGGTAGAAAAAATACTTATCTATGGGGCGGCCATATGGGCACTTCCAATGACTACAAGGAAGCAACAAATTTTGAACAGCGTTCAACGCCCATTTGTTTTGGCCATCACGAGGGCCTACAGGACCACAGCGACTGCAGCAGCCACAGTGCTGGCTGGACTTATTCCACTGCACATACGGGCCCAAATGGAAGCGGTCATCGCAAAAGTCACTCTCCTTAAGCAACCTGCTCAATACCAGAACCTCCATTTCTCACCGGAGGACTTTGAGAGCAATCTACAAGTTGCGGAAGTACACCCGGCCCTTTTCTGCAAGAATGTCCATGCTTATACAACGATGCTTGAAGACAACAACGATCACTCTAATGCCCTTAAGATTTATACAGATGGCTCCCAGGTGAATGGAACGACAGGCTGTAGCTATACCATCAAACGAAATGGAAGCACCTTAAGGTCTTGGAAAGGCTTTCTGGGCGCAGGCAACTCGGTCTTTCAGGCGGAAGCCGAAGCCATACGCCAGGCAATCCTAGCAGCGAGTCAATTTAGCTACTCCACCGCAGAAATACACACCGACAGCCTGTCAGCAATTCATGCAATTCGGAATCCTTTTCACAGGTCGCCCATCATAGGGCGCATTCAGCAAACCCTGCACCAGTACGAAGGACGCATCCTCATCTTCTGGATTAAAGCACACGCTGGACACCAGGGGAATGAGGAGGCAGATTTACTAGCCAAAGAAGCCGCGAGCAATCTCGATGCGGAACAACTGGCAATAAAATTACCCAAAATCCTATGTAAAGAAGGCTGTTCTAAACGCCGCACTCAAGCAATGGCAGGAAGAGTGGAATTCTATTCCGCAAGGAAGAAGGGACCTACGAATTCGCTCACAAAGTCAGCCTTGAGAGACAGATATCTCAGCCACACATCACCAGATTTATAACGGGTCATGGTCCATTCCCCGAATATTTTCTAGAGCGAAGAATAACAAACACCAACATCTGTGTGTGTGGCCAGCCAGGTAGCCCGGACCATTATGTCACCTTCTGCCCACTAACACGAGAGTGGCAACATGCCGTTTTACAACACAGATCCAGCTATAAAAGATTCTTTCATTCGCCAACCAGCGGTACTTAAAAAACTCAAAAGTATTATGGACAGACTGCAAGCATTAGGCCAGGACTTGTGTGATTCGGCTTAACCACAAACCCTATCCTTTATGTAAATGTATATTAATGTATAAGTGTATCATTTCTATTACTGTATGTATAGCCACTTAGGATGATACACGATTACGTGTTACCATTATTCTTCATCTATCGTATAATGTATAAGTGCCATTTTCAGTATTTCATTTCCATTAATGTATAAGTCTTTAAGTGTATCATTTGTACTAATATATATGTATAGCCAAGTAAGGTAATACACGAATATGTGTAACCTTTAATGTCATCGTTCACACTGATACACAATTTTCATTCTCAGTGTATCATTTCTGTCAACGTATAGGTGTGTATGTATCATTTTTATTGATGTGTGTATAGTCCAGTAGACTAAGTATATTGGTTTTCATTCTTTACCCGGAGGCCCATTCCTATAGATCCGTAAAATAAGCTGCATTAACATGGGCTTGCTTGTTTTAGTTTCCGTAAGCAAATAAATACTGATTTTCTTGGCGAGTGCAACCGTTTTTGATTACGGCAACCCTTCCGTGGCACGAAGAACTTGTTGAATCTTGCTTCCCACGATAACTTGCACTTGTTGACGAGCACGCATCGTCCCGATCTGGTTCTTACACTTAACTGGACACTTGCCTTACGGTCAGTTACCAATCCGTTATTCGCTTTCTAGTGTGAAATGTCTGTCCCGAAAAATGATTTAAGACTCAATATCGCCGAAAATAAGTGAAAAGTGTACTCTCAGTGGAGCTTCTATCAACTTTTGCGGGTGAAATTAAATAAAAATATTTCTTCTCAAAACTGCGGTCAAGGACCTGATGTGAAAGAAATGCTGTGTTTTGAAGATTCTTTTGTTACCCACGCAGCTCATGTTAACGTTATCTGAAATTAGTAAGTAAAAGAAAGACAATACAGTGCGGTTTCGTCTTCAAAAGTTCCAAGTGAGTTTTAATTTCCTATACTTAGTTTCCATTATCGAATAAACTAAAGTTTCTGATGTAAAATGTGGCAACAAAAATGTTTTCTTGCATATATCTTGAACTAATAAATGAAGGCGCAAATTTTTTTAATTAAAAGCTGACTTTACATTGATATAATCACCGAATTTTAAAATTCAAAAGCAAAAGTGAATACCAAAATTTAGAAGAAATACACATACACATTTGTGTGTGTTGGATGGCTATAGCTTTTAAAAATTAAATAAAAATATTTTAATTAAAATATCAGTATCACCAAATAACGAAATGTGCGCTATTATTATATAAAAATTATTTGTCATAAAAAATTGTTCCAGAGTAAACAAATTTTATTTCATACTTGATCGTTTCATTTAGCTTAAATTCTTGTGCATTAAATTATCTTAATTATATATAGAAACAAGCATATTTATTTATTTATTTTTAAATATTCACTATAAAAACGCCTGCCAAATAAATAAACCGAATACAAAATAACAGTCATTTTTGCAGAACATTTCTGTATTTTCTTATTTAAATCAGATAGCATATCTAAAAATAGAAGTGTTGGTTCAGAGTCTTATCTCCGTATTTCATTTGCTGTTTTGATTTAATTTTTGATCAATTCTTTTTCAAAAGCGTTGATTCATTGTTTTTATTATTCCTTTCGCGAATATTAAGAATAGCCGAATTCAAAGAAAACAATTACAATTAAAATCACTGCTGGAATTTAAAAATTTAATTAGAGAGAAGTATTTACAGTGTCTCACAAAAGTGATGGGACACTTGTGCTTTACGAAAGGAAACTGTAGTAAAATAAATTAAAAAAACATGTAAAAATTTTTTGTGGGTGTGTTTCATACTTAAATTTAGTAACAATTATTACATAACATACATTTTCTCAAAATATTAAAATAGTAATTTAATAAAAATACAATTGTTTAGAAGAGCAAAAAATGGCTCACGTAAGTGATGGGACACTTACTTTTCCATCAAATATTTATCCAAAAATTTTACTTCTTAAAGAATCTACTTCAATTTTTGTCCTGAAGATTTCAAATTTTGATTTAAAATGTCAATATACACACATTTTTTAGACCATTGTACTGATCCATTATACTGTCAATAAAAACAAGATTACCAACTCCAGCGGACGACGTACACCCCCATATCATAACTCCTCCTCCACCATGTTTTACTGTTGGCAGCAAGTTCTGTTTGTGAAATTCTTTCCTGGGTTTTCTCTACACCAAGATTTCTACCGTCAGAACCAAATATATTAAATTTACTCTCATCAGCAAATATAACTTCATTCCAGTAATCAGAGTTCTTATTTATGTTGGATTTTGCGAAAGCCAATGAGTTTTCTATTCTTTCACTTATGAAGAATTTTTTCCTGTCTGCTCTACCGTGATATCCAGTAGATCGAATTACTCTTCTAATAGTCTCAGAATTAACAATTCCTCCATATAATGCTTTTAAATCAGCAGCAATTTTAGGAGCACTCATTCTTGGATTTTTTTTAAATATTTCGAACGATAATTCGCTTTATTCCATTGGATAGCTTTGATGGTCGGCCAGGTCTTCTTTTATCCTGAATCATATGATTCTTTTTATATCGTTTAATGATATTGAAAACTGTTGAATGACTGAAGTTAACTGTTTCAGTAGTTTCTCTAATAGATTTTTCACGTTCAATATGCAAATAACTAATTTTCGAATTTCAGGCAAAGTTTCTTTTCGTTTAGCATTCATGGCTGCACAGAGCCTAAAAAACACAAAAATTCCAAAACCAAACTGGAGAGGGAAAGACTGCAGACGATTTTATAAATTATTGCTAATTGCTTTTGAGTAAAAATAAAAAACCCAAAAAATATTTTTATTTGTAGTTACGTAGTAGTATCTAATGGTGTCCCATCACTTATGTGAGCCATTTTTTGCTCTGTTCTAAATCAATTGTATTTTTATTAAATTATTATTTTAATATTTTGAGAAAATGTATGTTATGTAATAATTGTTACTAAATTTAAGTATGAAACACACCCACAAACAATTTTTACATGTTTTTTTAATTTATTTTATTACAGTTTCCTTTTGTAAAGCACAAGTGTCCCATCACTTTTGTGAGACACTGTATCTTGAATCATTTGAAAATTCTTTAAATAACATCGCTTTTATGGATGCATGTTAAAAATAGTTTTGAATTTAAAGAAATACGTATTTCAAAAATCTAATTATAAAGTTGCCGTTCTAAACGAAATAGCTAAACATGGAACAAATAAATGAAATTAATTGTGTTGAAGAAATTAAAGAATGCATTCATTTATCAAAGAACAGGAAAAAAGTTTGCATTCAAGTACCTTATTAAAAATTAGTTGAATGTATTATTTTAATGAGGTTGGATTTAACTATAAGACAGTTAAAACTTAAGATATTAAAAATATGAAATGTCAAAGGCAATGGCTTCGGAAAAGTACGCTTAAATTCTCCTAACTTTACAGGTATTTACAAATATTTGAAGTTTATTAACTTGTACTGGGGGCCTTTATTATTTAAATATTTATAAAAGCTATTTTAAGATGTGCTTAGTTGAAGATTGCGGCCGTAACGTTCTAATATTGAATTATTGCTTAGTTTAGGCCTTCTGCTTTCTTTCCAGGGGAACTTCTCGAATTAAAACTGCAACTTCTCTAAGCATTAGAATCACGATCTTCTCCAAGCATAAGCCAAAGAATATGACGTCCTTTGGCCTTATCCCATCAGACTGAAAAATGTTTGTGAATCATATTTTTTGCACCGTTATTAGAGAAGGATTACAGAGATATCGTTCTCTCTATCATCAAACCATATTTGCACATCCAAATTAATTCAAATATGAAGTTTGCAACTTTTGGTTATGTAATCTTAAACAAGTGCGTAAATAGCCGGTTACACATTAGCAACCGTTGTTATTTGTGTTGTGACTATATCACTTGTCTGACAGTAACATCAGAACAAGCTCACGAGATTCATCATGGCTAGGACTGCGACATTGGGCCTGTCGTCGCGCTTGAGAACCATTCAGATGACAGTATGAATTCGTTCATTCCGCCCCCCCCAATTCTGATGGAGAGCACCCAGGGGGACGGTTCCGAGTCTCCCACACTTCTTCTTCAACTACCAACATCTCTAGAGAACTTACGACTCGCCGTATATGTAGAATGCTCCCATACCATAAGAACAATATACATTTACAAACATCCATGCCTTCTTCGGGATTCGAACCGCAGTAAGCTCCCCTAACGACTATACCCTGTTATTTGCATGGGCGGTTATTGGCTATACCGTGGGTGGTCGTGTTATTTGTTATGATGCATTCAGTTTTCTGTTTATATCTTACTGGAATACGAGGATATTTTCGTGCCATGAATGCACTCAATTTCTATTGGCTTTTCCCGAAAGCATTGCTCTTAAGCCAGCCACTGTGTATTAACTGCGATAAATAACCTAATCTCAAAGAAGAAACAAATGCTTCAAAATATAAATAACTCCATTTGGTTTTTCTCTTTAGATATATATTTTTATAAATTTATAATTGCTAAGAATAATGTATTTTTCCTCTTTTGTTATTATAAAAAAACGAGGGAGGGAATTTTATTATTTTCATAAAGATTATATAGTTAAAAAAAGTATTTCCGTAAAATAAAATGCAAAATAAAAATTCTACAGAGGCTGTTCACACATTTTTTAGACGATGTATATTGTATTCACAAAACTAAATTGCATAAAATTCTTGTGTTTTAAATGTTCTATTTGACATCCCTTATTCTGAACTATCTTTCGACTTTCGACACCGCAATTTCAGGATAATAATGCCTTTTTGAAGTGGTAGAAGAGATATTCTATCCCATTCCTCCCGAACAGCTTTCCAGAGTTCCTGTTAAGGGTTTTGGGAACAACGTTTGGATAATGCAAGTTTTTAAATAGTCCGAAAGCACAAAATCCATAGGTGACACATTGGAGAGATTTAGTAGGGATGTTCAGTGAAGGGTATGGTCCTTGAATACCAGTTTTTTTTTTTTTTTTTTTTTTTGTTCCATTTCTTTTAGGAAATTTTACAGTGGATTTTCATGTATGACTGCTAGCTTTGTCCTGATGGAGTCTCACAGATTGATGGCACTGTGGATAAAGCGATGGTATTTCCTTCAGAAAAATTGGAGATAAAATATGTTCCTGATAGTATTTGGAGTTAATCTTGACATTTTTTTGCACTCTCTTTATTTTTAATTTGCCATTATAAGAAAAACCAGCAACAATCATGGATCCCTTAGAAAAACTTTCTTTCGATTCTTTGAACCATGTACTTAATTTTTTTTCTCCGCTTTTATGATAATGGCTCTTTTTTTGTTACAATCATTTAAATACAGCCATGCTTCAACTATTGTGACAATTGTTTTCCATTTTTCTTTAGATAAGTGTTTCTCATATAGAATTATGCAGCGTGTCCTGCGTTGAGCGATATGCTTTGGAAGAAGATGCACATTGCGTTTTTTGCCTTTCTTAAGATTTAAATCAACGTTTATCATTTTGCTTACAGTGGACACCGAACATTTTAATGATTTTGCAACTGTCCTTTGACTAGGGGGATTTTCTTTTAACATTAAACAACGTACCCTTGCAACAGTCGAAGATGTCCGTTTTTTCCTTGGATGCTTGGTTGGAATTTTTGTCCCACTTGAGGCTCAGGCTCCAATTTGACGTTTTTTCCCTTTCTTGTTGATGATATTACCTATCGACGCTTTAGATATCACAAAACCGTGACTCTCACATCGTTTTTGGATAACGGAGTATGCATATTTCTCTTCGGAAAGAGCGTAAATGCAGCCTTCGAACCACTGCTTTGTTAAATTCGCCATTTTTGAATAAAAACAAAACTTTCAATCCACAGACGATAATTTTGACTTTTAAAAACATAATGCAATTGCAATTACTTCTTTCGCAGCAAA